GAGGAATGGTACCCTGATACATCATAGTCCTTGAAACGGAACTCGAGGGTACCATATGATAAGTACTGGTTTAAGGGTTAGTGTAAGTTGGAGTATTGGGTTATATTAATTAACGCCTATTTCGGACGAATATCACCTGTTCAAAGTTAATGGAAGCGGACCGCGGTTCCTAGCGCCCTGTCATTCTCGTCACAACGACAGCACTCCATTGAAATCACAATTCGTAGGAAACGAGTGAAAATAAACCCCATACGCATTTACATCTCTTCAAAAGTCTCCGCGTTCTACGTATTATTAAGATCATTATATGGGATATGTAGGCGATCGCGTAGCTTCCAGGGAACTCCCTGAAACTCAATTAATATCGTTAACGGTGTAATTCCTTCAACAATGGGAGTATATGGAAATGCACGATACAAGAATGACAGCCATGCCTGATTTGAAAATCCGCTTAATGAAACGAAGACCTATGCTTAAACGAGTGTTCTTTTATTAATTCCCTAGGGCACTACTCTCAATTCGTAAAAAGGCGAGAAAAGTCAGTTTGTAATTCATATGATATTACAGAAAGTATCGCTGAATTTTCAAGTCAAAAGAGATATCCCCATGTGTACGTTATTTTAATCTTATTTACCACAATTAATCTATTATTCAAAACCTTAAAACCTTATTTCCCCATTCATTTGTAAATATAAACGCACACCTTGACACGATTCATCCTTCAAGCAGAGTTTAAGTAACAAAACGTGCCTGGTCTTGTCTGCTTATGTGAACGTGAGACAGATGGTGACGTGACTGCCTCAAACTTTTACTCCTGACCGCCATGTTTATGATCCATCCAAGATCTATTCTCATCGGTTATAACTTGAAACTTTTATTTTCACTCATTTATTTAAAGGGATAATAACTCTTCGTTTTGGCCAAAAAATGAATTTTCCTGGAGTAAACAACAATTTTCCCATACTTACCAATGGTTAATGAATCCATTTTTACATTCAAAGTTAGTCCCTGTTTTTTTTTCTAAAAAGTTTGGTTTTTTGTTAAAATCTCTTAAGAGATTATAACCGAGTACAGCCATCAATGGAGGTCACGTGATCTGACGACAAGCTCAGATATCAGAATAAAAGCTATAACTGCCGTTTTTTGTGGTAAAACAGAATATATTATATTTCTTTGAGTTGTTCACAATGTTTTTATTGTCAAATATAGATATCATACGAAGAGTTATTATCCCTTTAAGAAAACATATACTTTGATGCATTGTCCCTTTTCAACCCTCATTTATCGTTGAGTTACATGGACAGCATGTAGAAAGTACTCAACATCGAGCTGGATTACAAAAATATAGATGCATAGGCTGGAATGCAATTAAGCATCTACCCCTTATACATGTATTCTAAAAATAGCGTCCATGACACCAGAATCACATGTGGAGGTGCTCTGCAATACAGGGTGTGATTTAAGATGGGCAAGAAACAAACGTAAGAGTTAAAACCGGTATTAACGAAACCGACAGTGAAAAAAAAATAAAAAAAAACTCCCATTGCAAAAAAAAAAAAAAAAAAAAAAAAAAAATGGAATTGGCAGACAGGTGACAAATTATAAGGAAAAAAGGTTTTATTTTTGTATCCTGCTTTTAGTAGGCCTGTATATATACCAGAATATATAAAAAGCAACGTTAAACAGTCCCTGCTAATATCTCCCAGTTACATACGTGGCTGACGTAAGTTCTTGCCGTGATTAAAAGGTAAGTCCTGCTTCATACACTTAAAAAGTGTGTATGACTTGATGTTGTTTTCTGAGCTTTTACTGAATTAAAGAATCGTCTTTTACCGTTTTGCACTCTGTTTTAATTATCGCCCAATTAATTTACTTTTTTTTATTTTTATCTTATATGTAGGAGAAATTTTAAATGGGGTATCATATCAATGTATTCGTATTCGACTTGTTGGTGTGCTCTGTGGAACTACTTGTATGGGTTGAAGTTCGCCCAGATACATGTACATGTAGAATTGCTATATGTACGTGTATGAAATCTCTCTCTCATTTTACGTGCCAGCGTGTTTTCTTTTTATGCTCATCTCATAAATTGAGATATGCAAAACATAGAAGGACCATAATATTTTTTTTTTAGTAAAATCGTCTAATGTATGTGCATTTGAAAGAAGCTGACGTGTGTATTTGCAAGTTTTGACTTTATAAATGCACCTTCAATGTGAAAATAACATACGAATGAACGGGTTATACACCACTTATACAGTAATGTGTTATATTTCAGAGAATTTTGATTGGGTGAAGATGAATCCTTCGGTCAGATTAGCGTTTCTTCTCGTCTCTTTGCTGGTGGTCATAAGCCACTGGTCCTTTGACACACTTGGTCAGGCTGTCACCCAAACTGAACAACAGATCGTTTCCAGTAACACCAACTTCGCGCTAAAGCTTTACGAGATTCTCAAGGCCAAATCCGGAAACATTTTCTTCAGTCCGTTCAGCATCACGACTGCTTTAAGCATGGTCCTTCTCGGTGCTAAAGGAGATACCAGCTCAGAAATGAAAAGAGTGATGGGTTACAGTAACCTTCCCTCTATTCATGAAGATTTCAAACGCCTTAACACTAGACTAACCAACCCAGGAAAAGAATACCTCCTCCGTATTGCCAATCGGCTCTTTGGAAGAGAAGGGTTTAACTTCAATCAAAAGTACATTGATGACAGCGGACGGTACTATGATGCTCCTCTCGATCTACAGGATTTCAGCCGCCCTGCCGTCACAACCAGGTACATCAACAATTGGGTAGAACAACAGACAAATAACAAGATCGTCGACCTCCTGCCAAACGACTTCATCGACCCCCAGCTCATCCTAGTCCTGGTGAATGCTATATATTTTAAGGGAAGTTGGACTAGTAAGTTTTTAGAGTCAAACACCCGCCCCCAACCGTTCTTCACATCCAACGTGAACCAGGTGAACGTGCCAATGATGTTTCAACAACAAAGCTTCCCGTATGGAACCAGTGCTTTGCTGAAATGCAAAATTCTGGAATTACCGTACCATGGTGACGCTAGTATGGTCATCTTCCTCCCAGACCAAATTGATGACCTTGGTCATCTGGAAAGATCACTGACCAGCGCATCGGTTGTGGATGATGCTCTGTCCACATTGAGGGACCAGACAGTCAACGTGTATCTGCCTAAGTTCAAGTTGAGTGACATTCAATTAGATCTAAAACCCGTTCTTATTCAAATGGGAATGTCAAAGATGTTCACACGCGGCGGAGCTGATTTGTCAGGAATTGGCGGGAACCCAGGAGATCTGTTCGTCTCCAAGGCGATCCACGAGGCTTTCGTTGACGTCAACGAGGAAGGAACCGAGGCGGCGGCTGCTACGGCCATTGGCGTGGGTTACGGGTCAGCGGTTGTTCCTGACTTCCGAGCCGATCGACCCTTCATCTTCCTGATTCGCGAGAAGTCATCGGGCACCGTTCTGTTTGTGGGCAGAGTTATGAACCCCGCTGCATAATAAGCAAGAATTCAAAAAAGTGCTGAAAAACGAAATGAACACTTAACTCCTCGTTGTTGTCTGAATTACGTTTTTAACATCTGAAATCTATCAAAAAATAAAATGATGGTATGCAAAATTTGACAAGAATAGTATTGTACTCATGATATAGGTTTTATATCTTTTCAGATTTCCTAACTTATTGTAAAATGCACATTTTAATGTTTCCATCCGTGTACTAGTTTTGTACGTCCTTAAGTGAATGCGCGAGTACGGTTATTCTCTGCTGACTGAAGACTAACCGAACAAAAGATTAAATGGGCATCAGCCAAGACCACAACAAATGTGGCTGAAAAAATACTTTACAAAAATATGTTTGATAAACGTTACTTCAAATTTAAAGCGATGTTATTTTGTCCCAAATATAAACTCGTGCATTCTAGGGAATCTTTATGAGAGCACATGTTGACAAGATATCACTTGTAGGATTTTAGACTATTCATACTTTTTATAGTTAATGTAATTATAATACCTTTTAGTGTTAAAATTCAACGGATTTACTTTTCATCCGTAAATTCTGAATTTCTGTACGTGCATGTTCTTCATGCAGTCACACTCTTTTTTAACTTTAACTTAAGCCAATATAACGACCAGAACAACTCCTTTAACTCGCAAATGAGGAGTGGCATTGCACTTATTTCTAAAAAGGCAATTACAAGCAAAGTTGAAATGTTATTCAAGACAAAAAAAACCTTGATCTGTGACTTTAACCTCATTCATCACGACTTTTATTCAAAACATTTCGACCTTATTTCCTCATTCATTAGCAAAAATATACGCACACCCTGGCACGATGCGTCCTTCAACCAGAGCTTAAGTGACAATGCGTGCGCCTGGTCTTGTCCGCTTGTGTGTTTGTGAGAGAGATGGTGACCTGACAATCTCATATTTGTACCCCTGATCGTCATGTATATGATCCATCCAAGATCTGTCCTCATCGGATATAACTTGAAACTTTTTTTTTTTATTTTTCACTAAATTATTTAAAGAAACCTATACTGCAATGTAATAACATTTTCCCTTTTGAACCCTCATTTATCAGATAATGGACAGCATACAGAAAATACTCAACATGGAGCTGTATTACAAGCATGTATATGCATAGGCTGGATTGCAATTAAGAGTTTACTTCTAATACCTTATATCCCAATAAAATTGTTTTATACAAGATCGAGGCACAGGTGGAGTGGTATTGTAAAAAAGCGTGTGATTTAACATCGTCAAGAAAGAGCAATTTTAAAACTGATGTAAACGAAACTTGCGTTTAAAAACAAAACTCCCTCTGTGAAAATGGAATAGACAGACAGGTAACAAATTAGAAGGAAATAGCTTTCATCGCTGTTTTATTCTAGTAGCCTGCATATATATATAACATGTCAGGTTAAACAGACCCTGCTCATATTTCCAAGCTACGTTCGTGCCTGGCGTAAATTAAAGTCCTCGCCGTGATTAAAAGGTAAGCCCTGTTTCATACCCTTTGAACATGTGTATGACATAATGTTGTTTTCCTCAACTTCACTTCAAAGTTCTCCTATTTATTTTTCCACTATTACTCTCTTTTCTTATCACTGTATTGATTTAAGGGAAATTTTTTAGACTGGTTTTTATATGAATGTATCGTTCGTGGGTTGTTTTCAGGGCTTACATGTATTTGTCAGTCTTGATTTCATAATGCACCATCAATATAAAATAAAATGAAGATTTTTCTACTTAAACAGCTTAAAGTTTAATATACGTTCTTTTTCAGACAAAACGATCACACTATCATGCATCCATTGGTTAGATCAACGGTTCTTCTCGTCTATTTGCTGGTGGTTATAAGCCACTGGTCCTTTGACACACTTGGTCATGGTACACAGACGCAGGGTGTCACCCCACTGGAGCAACAGATTGTTACCAGTAACACCAACTTTGCTCTAAACATGTTCCAGAATCTCAAGGCCGAGTCCGGTAACATTTTCTTCAGTCCGTTCAGCATCACGACTACTTTAAGCATGGTTCTTCTCGGCGCTAAAGGCGATACGAGCTCAGAGATGAAAAGGGTGATGGGTTACAGCAATATTCCCTCTATTCACGTTAATTTCAAACGCCTCCTCACTAGACTTACCAACCCAGGTAACAAATATCTCCTCCGTATTGCCAATCGGCTCTTTGGAAGGGAAGGGTATGACTTCAATCAAAAGTACATTGGTGACAGCGGACGGTACTACGATGCTCCCCTAGATGTACAGGACTTTAGTCAACCTTCCGCCACAACCAGGTACATCAACAATTGGGTAGAACAGCAGACAAATAACAAGATAGTCGACCTTCTGCCAAATACATTTATCAACCCCCAGCTCATCCTAATTTTGGTGAATGCTATATATTTTAAGGGAACTTGGACCAGTAAGTTTTCGGAGTCAAAAACCCGTCCCCAACCGTTCTTCACATCCAACGTGAATCAAGTAAACGTGCCAATGATGTTCCAGAAACAAAGCTTCCCGTATGGAACCAGTGCTTCGCTGAAGTGCAAAATTTTGGAACTACCGTACCATGGTGACGCTAGTATGGTCATCTTCCTCCCAGACCAAATTGATGACCTTGGTCATCTGGAAAGATCACTGACCAGTGCATCAGTTGTGGATGATGCATTGTCCACAATGTGGAACCAGACAGTCAACGTGTACCTACCTAAGTTCAAGCTGAGCGACATGCGCTTAGATCTGAAGCCCGTGCTTATTCAAATGGGAATGTCGAAGATTTTCAGTTTTGGCGGAGCTGATTTGTCTGGAATTGGCGGGAAACCAGGAGATTTGTTCATTTCTGAGGCGATCCACGAGGCTTTCGTTGACGTCAACGAGGAGGGNGCCAGTTTTGACTTTATAAATGCACCTTCAATGTGAAAATAACATACGAATGAACGGGTTATACACCACTTATACAGTAATGTGTTATATTTCAGAGAATTTTGATTGGGTGAAGATGAATCCTTCGGTCAGATTAGCGTTTCTTCTCGTCTCTTTGCTGGTGGTCATAAGCCACTGGTCCTTTGACACACTTGGTCAGGCTGTCACCCAAACTGAACAACAGATCGTTTCCAGTAACACCAACTTCGCGCTGAAGCTTTACGAGATTCTCAAGGCCAAATCCGGAAACATTTTCTTCAGTCCGTTCAGCATCACGACTGCTTTAAGCATGGTCCTTCTCGGTGCTAAAGGAGATACCAGCTCAGAAATGAAAAGAGTGATGGGTTACAGTAACCTTCCCTCTATTCATGAAGATTTCAAACGCCTTAACACCAGACTAACAAACCCAGGAAAAGAATACCTCCTCCGTATTGCCAATCGGCTCTTTGGAAAAGAAGGATTTAACTTCAATCAAAAGTACATTGATGACAGCGGACGGTACTATGATGCTCCTCTCGATCTACAGGATTTCAGCCGCCCTGCCGTCACAACCAGGTACATAAACAATTGGGTAGAACAACAGACAAATAACAAGATCGTCGACCTCCTGCCAAACGACTTCATCGACCCCCAGCTCATCCTAGTCCTGGTGAATGCTATATATTTTAAGGGAAGTTGGACTAGTAAGTTTTCAGAGTCAAACACCCGTCCCCAACCGTTCTTCACATCCAACGTGAACCAAGTAAACGTGCCTATGATGTTTCAACAACAAAACTTCCCGTATGGTACCAGTGCCTCGCTGAAATGCAAAATCTTGAAACTACCGTATCATGGTGACGCTAGTATGGTCATCTTCCTCCCAGACCAAATTGATGACCTTGGTCACCTGGAAAGATCACTGACCAGCGCATCGGTTGTGGATGAGGCTTTGTCCACAATGAGGGACCAGACAGTCAACGTGTATCTGCCTAAGTTCAAGTTGAGTGACATTCAATTAGATCTAAAACCCGTTCTTATTCAAATGGGAATGTCAAAGATGTTCACACGAGGCGGAGCTGATTTGTCAGGAATTGGCGAGAACCCAGGAGATCTGTTCGTCTCCAAGGCGATCCACGAGGCTTTCGTTGACGTCAACGAGGAAGGAACAGAGGCGGCGGCTGCTACGGCCATTGGCGTGGGTTATGGGTCAGCGGTTGTTCCTGACTTCCGAGCTGACCGACCCTTCATCTTCCTGATTCGCGAGAAGTCATCGGGCACCGTACTGTTTATGGGCAGAGTTATGAACCCCGCTGCATAATAAGCAAGAATTCAAAAAAGAATCACGAAATGAACACTTAACTCCTCGTTGTTGTCTGAATTACGTTTTTAACATGTGAAATCTATCAAAAAATAAAATGATGGTATGCAAAATTTGACAAGAATAGTATTGTACTCATGATATAGGTTTTATGTCTTTTCAGATTTCAGGTTTTAATGTTTCCATCCGTGTACTAGTAACTGTACTTTCTTAAGTGAATGCACGAGTACGGTTCTTCTCTGCTGATTGGAGACCAACCGAACAAAAGATTAAATGGGCATCAGCCAAGACCACAACAAATGTGGCTGAAAAAAATACTCTACAAAAATATGTTTGATAAACGTTACTTCAAATTTAAAACAATGTTATTTTGTCCCAAATATAAACTCGCGCATTTTAGGAAATCATTATGAAAACACATGTTGATAAGACATCACTTGTAGGATTTTAGACTATATTTTATGTAATTATAATACTTTATAGTGTTATAATTCAACGGCTTTACTTTTCATCCGTAAATTCTGAATTTCTGTACGTGTATGTTTTTCAGTCACACTTTTTTGTAACTTTAACTTAAGCCAATATAACGACCAGAACAACTCCTTTTTCAACTCGCGAAATGATTCGTGAGGAGTGGCATTACACTTATTTCTAAAAAAGCAGTTACAAGCAAAGTTGAAATGTTATTCAAGACAAAAAAAACCTTGATCTGTGACTTTAACCTCATTCATCACGACTTTTATTCAAAACATTTCGACCTTATTTCCTCATTCATTAGCAAAATATACGAACACCCTGGCACGATGCGTCCTTCAACCAGAGCTTAAGTGACAATGCGTGCGCCTGGTCTTGCCCGCTTGTGTGTAAACTTGTGAGAGAGATAGTGACCTGACTATCTCATATTTGTACTCCTGATCGTCATGTATGTGATCCATCCAAGATCTGTTCTCATCGGATATAACTTGAAACTTTTTATTTTTACTTATTTATTTAAGGAAACATAGACTTGGATGCAAAGTAATAAAAAATTCCCCTTTTGAACCTTCATTTATCGTCGAGTTGAGTGGACAGAATGCAGAAAGTACATACTCAACGTCGAGCTGGGTTACAAGAATCTTTATGCATTGGTTGGATTGCAATTTAGGGTTTACTCCTTATACATGTATCCTAATTTTATTCGTGTATGATACTCGATTCAGAGGCGAAGGTGTATTAAAATAAAGTGTGTGATTAAAGATGAACAAGAAAATAAAACAACGTTACATGTAAAGCTGATGTAAACGAAACTGGCGTTTAAAAAAACAAAACTCCCATTGCGAAAATGGAATTGGCAGACAGGTAACAAATTATGAGGAAATAGCTTTTATGGTTGTTTTATTCTAGTAGCCTGCATATATATAAACGTATGACAGGTCACGTTAAACAGACCCTGCTCATATTTCCAAGCTACGTTCGTGCCTGGCGTAAATTAAAGTCCTCGCCGTGATTAAAAGGTAAGTCCTGTTTCATACCCTTTGAACATGTGTATGAAATAATGTTGTTTTCTTTAACTTCACTTTAAAGTTCTCCTATTTATTTTTCCACTCTCTTTTGTTACCACTGTATTGATTAATTTGTTTTAATTTTCATTTTATTTGAAGGGAAAATTTTTAGACTGGTTTTTATATGAATGTATCGCTCGTGGGTTGTTTTCGGGGCTTATTTTACAGTATTGATTTCATGATGCAACTTCAATTTGAAAATAGAATGAAGGGTTTTTTTTTTACTTGTATACAGCTTAAAGTTTAATATATGTTATATTTCAGACAAAATCGATCCAACTATCATGCATCCTTTGGTTAGATCAGCTGTTCTTCTCCTCTGTTTGCTGGTGGTTATAAGTCACTGGTCTTTTGACACACTTGGTCAAGAAACACAAACGCAGGATGCCACCCAACCTGAGCAACAGCTTGTTACCAGTAACACCAACTTCGCTCTAAACATGTTCCAGAATCTCAAGGCCGAGTCCGATAACATTTTCTTCAGTCCATTCAGCATCACGACTGCTTTAAGCATGGTCCTTCTCGGTGCTAAAGGCGATACGAGATCAGAGATGAAAAGAGTGATGGGTTACAGCAATATTCCTTCTATTCATGAACATTACAAACGCCTCCTCACTAGACTTACCAAATCAGGTAACAAATATCTCCTCCGTATTGCCAATCGTCTCTTTGGAAGAGCAGGATTTGATTTCAATCAAAAGTATATTGATGACAGTGGACGGTACTATGATGCTCCTCTAGATCTACAGGACTTTAGCCAACCTTCCGCCACAACCAGGTACATCAACAATTGGGTAGAACAGCAGACAAATAACAAGATCGTCGACTTCCTGCCAAATAACTTCATCAACCCCCAGCTCATCCTAATTTTGGTGAACGCAATATATTTCAAGGGAACGTGGACCAGTAAGTTTTCGGTGTCAAACACCCGTCTCCAACCGTTCTTCACATCCAACGTGAACCAGGAAACCGTGCCAATGATGTTCCAGAAACAAAGTTTCCCGTATGGTACCAGTGCCTTGCTGAAATGCAAAATTTTGGAACTACCGTACCATGGTGACGCTAGTATGGTCATCTTTCTCCCAGACCAAATTGATGACCTTGGTCATCTGGAAAGATCACTGACCAGCGCATCGGTTGTAGATGAGGCTTTGTTCACATTGAGGGACCAGACAGTAATCGTGTACCTGCCTAAGTTTAAGCTGAGCAACATGCGTTTGGATTTGAAACCCGTGCTTATTCAAATGGGAATGTCGAAAATGTTCAGCTTAGGCGCTGATTTGTCGGGAATTGGTGGGAAACCAGGCGACTTGTTCGTTTCTAAGGCGATCCACGAGGCTTTCGTTGATGTCAACGAGGAAGGAACCGAGGCAGCGGCTGCCACGGCCATAGGCGTGTTTTTTACGTCATTGATTTCAGTGACTCCTGTATTCCGAGCTGACCGGCCCTTTGTCTTCCTGATTCGCGAGAAGTCATCGGGCACTGTTCTGTTTATGGGCAGAGTTATGAACCCTGTTGGCTAAAAAGCAAGAATTCAAGAAAGAATTTGGAAATTTACACCTAACTCTATGTTGTTGTTTTCTGACATCTGAAATTTATCATCAAATAAAATAATGCCATGAAAGTTTTGATAAGATTTGTATTAGGATAGGATTAAGATATAGGATATTATGCTTTCAAATTACCGAACTTGTTCTAAATACAAAGCCAATTTTCCATCCGTATACAATAAAGAAGATTCATGCAGTAAATCAATGACTTAGTAGTATATATTCGTCCTTCAATAAATGTACGGTAGTTCTCTGTGGACTGGGATCCAACTTGACAAAAGATTTAATGGTCATCAGCCGAGATAACAAAAAAATGGTTGAAATATTTTTTACAAAAATAAAGTTGATATGAACGATAAAGTCGAAATAACATTAATTTGTCCTTAATATAAACTCGTATTATAGGAAATCTTTAGGAAAACAGATGTTGTAATTATAAAACTGATATGTAGGCATTTACATTTTCCAATCGTCTTAGACATTTTTTTAAGTGTCATAGGACAACAGCTACACTTTTCATCCTCAAATCTGGAATTTCTGTACGTGTATGATTACCATGCAATCACACTCTTAAACTTAAGCCAACATAACGACCAGAACAACTCCTTACTTTACTCGCCAAACGATTCGTGAGGAGTGACATTACACTCATTTTTAAAAGGCAGTAATGAGTAAAAGTGAAATGTAATGCATAAATGAAATTACAATATCGACAATCGATTTTTTAAGACAAAACGAAATCCCTTGATCTTTGACTTCAATCTCTTTCACCACGTGCACGATTTTTATTCAAGACATTAAGACCTTATTTCCTCGTTCATTTGTATAAATATATGCACACCCTGACAGGCTAGGTCCTTCAAGCACGGATTAAATAACAACACGTGCACCTGGTCTTGTCTGCTCATGTATTAGACTGCATTCCCACAGATTTAGTTCGATCCATCTGGATCGACCTATCTCCCTAGGGGTTCACGCTAAATTGCTGTCAGCCAAGCGCGCACGGAAGTCTATTAACCCCTTACAGCTTTTAGTAGGCGGGACAGACATTTAAGCCACCTAAGCTGACAGTAATCTAGTTAGACCCCCCACGAGAATAGATCGATCTAAAATCTGTGGGAATGCAGTCTTAGTGTAACACTATGTGGCGCGACTATCTCATATCTGTACTCCTGATCGTGATGTTTATGATCCATTCAAGTTCTGTTCTCGTCGGTAATAATTTGAAGGTTTTTATTTCCCTTTATTTATGAAGGGAATCATGTATATAGATCCAGTGAAATCAATATTCCCCTTTTAAACCTTCATTCATCGTCCATATGTATAGGCTAGATTACAATTAAGAGCCTTTTAGTTATACACGTATGCCAATAATAATCGTCTATGACACAAGAGTTAAAGGTGGAGGGGTATTGCAATAAAGGGTTTGATTAAAAATGGGCAAGAAACAAACGATGTAGTTAAAACTGGGGTTAACGAGACTGGTGATAAAAAAAAAAAAACAAAACTCCCATTGCCAAAATGGGATTGGCGGACAGGTAACAAATTATTAGGAAATAGTTTTTATTTTAAAATCTTGCTTTAAAAGGACGCATTAAACAGCCCTTGCTCATGTTTCGCAGTTACATTCGTGGTGGATGTAAATTTAAGTTTTCGACGTGATTAGAAGGTAATTCTTGTTTCATACACTTTGAACATATGTATGAGTCGATTTCTGAACTTTTACTTTATACAATAGTTAGCCTTTACCTTTTTTTCGCTTATTTTTATTACCATTTTATTAATTAATTTCCTTTTATTATTTTTTTTTATTTAAAGGGGAACACTTAAGACGGGTTATTATATCAATGTTTCGTAGATGGGTTGTTTGCAGGGTCTATTTGTCAGTCTAGATTTTAAAAATGCGACTTAAAATGAACATATAATGAAAAGGTTATCCTTAAACATTGTTTATTTTATGCTTTTTATATTTAAATATATTTATTTCAGACAAATTCGTGATGGTGCATCCTTTGGATAGATCAGCGGTTTTTATTGTATATATGATGGCGGTCATCAGCCACTGGTCCTCGGACACACTTGGTCAAGGTACACAGATGCAGGATGTCACCGAAACTGAGCAAAAGATCGTTACCGGTAACACCAACTTCGCTCTTAACCTCTTCCAGATTCTCAAGGCCGATTCCGGTAACATTTTCTTCAGTCCGTTCAGCATCACGACTGCTTTAAACGTGGTCCTTCTTGGAGCTGAAGGAGATACGAGATCAGAGATGATAACAGTGATGGGTTACAGTAATATCATTTCCATTCATGAAAATTTCAAACGCCTCCGCACTAGACTAACAAACCCAGGAATAGAATACCTCCTCCGTATTGCAAATCGGCTCTTAGGAAGAGAAGGATTTAACTTCAATCAAAAGTACATTGATGACAGTGGACGGTACTATGATGCTCCTCTAGATGTACAAGACTTTAGCCAACCTTCCGCCACAACCAGATACATTAACAATTGGGTAGAACAGCAGACAAATAACAAGATAGTCGACTTCCTGCCAAACGACTCATACTAATCCTGGTGAACGCTGTATATTTTAAAGGAACTTGGACCAGTAAGTTTTCAGAGTCGAACACCCGTCCCCAACCGTTCTTCACATCCAACGTTAACCAAGTAAACGTGCCTATGATGTTTCAACAACAAAACTTCCCGTATGGTACCAGTGCCTCGCTGAAATGCAAAATCTTGAAACTACCGTATCATGGTGACGCTAGTATGGTCATCTTCCTCCCAGACCAAATTGATGACCTTGGTCACCTGGAAAGATCACTGACCAGTGCATCGGTTGTGGATGAGGCTTTGTCCACAATGAGGAACCAGACAGTCAACGTGTACCTTCCTAAGTTTAAACCGAGCGATATGCGTTTGGATTTGAAACCCGTGCTTATTCAAATGGGAATGTCGAAGATGTTCAACCTTGGCAGTGCTGATTTGTCGGGAATCGGCGGGAACCCAGGAGATCTGTTCGTCTCTAAGGCGATCCACCAGGCTTTCATTGACGTCAACGAAGAAGGAACCGAGGCAGCGGCTGCCACGGCCATCGGCGTGTCTCGCAAGTCAGAGCTTTCAGTGACACCTGTATTCCGAGCCAACCGACCATTTGTCTTCCTGATTTGCGAGAAGTCATCGGGCACCGTACTGTTTTTGGGCAGAGTTATGAACCCTGTTACCTGAAAAGCCAAGATTAAAAAAAATCACGAAATTTACACTTAAAGGGATAATAACTCTTTGTTTGAGATCTATATTTCACAATAAAAACATTGTGAATAACTCATAGAAATATAATATCTTCTGTTTTACCACAAAAACGGCAGTTATAGCTATTGTTCTGATATCTGAGCTTGTCTTTAGACCACGTGACCTCCATTGATGGCTATACTCTGTTAAATCTCTTAAGAGATTTTAACAAAAAACCAAACTTTTTAGAAAAAAAACAGGGACTAACTTTGAATGTAAAAATGGATTCATTAACCATTGGTAAGTATGGGAAAATTGTTGTTTACTCCAGGAAAATTCATTTTTTGGCCGAAACGAAGAGTTATTATCCCTTTAACTAAATGTTGTCTGAATTTATTCATTTGTTATCTATTTATTTATTTATTTATTGACATCTGAAATTTATGAACAAATAAAATAATGTCATGCAAAATTTGAGTATTTGTATTGCACGGAATATAGGATATTATATGTTTTTATATTTCCGAATTTGTATTATTATTTAGGTGCAGTGTAACCACCAGTTTATAACAAATTCACGTAGTAAATCTGCTGTTTTTCTCTTCAGATTAGAGCCAACTTAACAGAAGGTTAGACCGGCGTCTTTTGAGTTTATGTAAAAAGTGTCTGGAAAAATATTGAATGGCCTACTCAAATATGATTGATAATAGCAACCTCAATCAATTTTTTTCTCAATAATTAATTCATGAGTATTTTTAAGATACCATTTTTAGGAAATAATAATAATAATAATAATAATAATAATAATAATGAAAAAAGATTTCCATTTACTTTTTTCCAGTAGTCAACGACAATGTCATGTATCAACATCTTCACTTTCATCCAAAAATCTTGAAACAAAAAATAATGTAGTAAATGTACGGTTCCTCCTTTCGAACAGGAGGTCAATTTGACAGAAGATTTAATAAGCACCAGAAGAGATTACCAAAAAGTGGCTGAATAATACTTTACAAAAATATGATTGACAACCGATACTTCAAAATGATTATTTTGTCCTTAATATAAACTCGTTCATTTTAGGATATCATTATGATAATAAATATTAACTTAAGACATCATTCGTAGGTTTTAAGAACATAGTAAAAGCACAGAAATGTAATTGTAATGCTACCAAATGTGTACACGCACTGGACAATAGAAGTGTCACCCCAACTGAACCAATACTTTGGGGGAGATAAATGACTATGGAATGATATATTTCTGGTATCATTTTATTAACATCAAATTTCACAAAAAGACCAACAATACAATTCCATGGTGCAGCGGTTTTGTACTCATTAGTCACATTATAAGTAGACCAGGCATTATAACTACTCAAGATCTACCTACATTGATTACTCTGATTCGGGGGGTGACACTTCTATTGCCAATTGTGTGTATATTTATTTTCCAAATGATTTAGACTATTTCATAGTGTCATATGTCAACAGCTCCACTTGTGATCTACAAATTTTGAATATCTATGCATGTATGTTTTCCAGTCACACTCTTTTACTAAAGCCAAGTTAACAGCAACTCATTGTTTTACTCGACAAACGATTCGTGAGGACTGACATTTGTTCACAAAAAGTTGAACAAAAGCGTCAAAGTTAATAGTGGTGTTAACGAAACTGTGGATTTAAAAAACAACACTCCCATTGCGATATTGGAATTGTCAGACAGGTAACAAATTATAAGGAAATAACTTTTATTCTACTTTCCTGCTTTTAATAGGCATATATAAAGGGCCACGTAGAACAGTACAAGCTCGTTTACATGTTACGTTGGTGGCTGACATAAAGTTCTCGACGTGATAAAAAGGTAAGTCCTGCTTCATACACTTTGGACATATGCATAGCTTGATGTTGTTTACTGAACTTTCACTTGAAACTTCGCCTTTTCCTTTTTCTGCCGTTTAAATTAATTTGCTAATTATTAATTTAATTTACTTTTATCGTTTTTGCAGGGAAAAACTTTAGACGGGCTATCATTTTAATTTATTGTGCGTTGGTTACATGTTATATTGAAAAATGGACTGAAATCTGTCCAGAGAGAATTGCTATATGTTCTTGTGTGACCTCTGTCTCTTTCTCTCTCTTTCATTTTGCATGCATTTACCTTTTCATGTTCACATGTTCAGGTCCTAAATGGAGAGATTAAAAAATTATCGAAGGACCATAAACCTGTCGGTAAAATTATTTTATATAGTTGTACAGTTGATGTAGGTATTCGTATTTGCCAGTCGTGATATATGCACCTTGAACATGAGCATCAAATGAAGAATTTATACTCATAAACAACCAGTTTTGTATATATTTCAGTAAATACTGATCGAGTAATCATGCATCCTTCGGTCAGATCAGCGGTTCTTCTCGTCTGTTTAGTGGTCATAAGCCACTGGTCCTTGGTCACACTTGGTCAGGATGCCACCCAAACTGAACAACAGATCGTTGAAAGTAACACCAACTTTGCTCTTAATACCTATCAGATTCTCAAGGCCGAATCCGGAAACATTTTCTTTAGTCCGTTCAGCATCACGACTGCTTTAAGCATGGTCCTTCTCGGTGCTAAAGGCGATACGAGCTCAGAAATGAAAAGAGTGATGGGTTACAGCAACATTCCTTCTATTCATGAAAATTTCAATCGCCTTAACACTAGACTAACCAACCCAGGAAAAGAATACCTCCTCCGTATTGCCAATCGACTCTTTGGAAAAGAAGGGTTTAACTTCAATCAAAAGTACATTGGTGACAGCGGACGGTACTATGATGCTCCCCTAGATGTACAGGACTTTAGCCAACCTTCCGCCACAACCAGGTACATTAACAATTGGGTAGAACAGCAGACAAACAGCAAGATCATCGATCTCCTGCCAAACGACTTCATCGACCCCCAGCTCATCCTAGTCCTGGTGAATGCAATATATTTTAAGGGAACTTGGACCAGTAAGTTTTCAGAGTCAAACACCCGCCCCCAACCGTTCTTTCCGACCAACGTGAACCAGGTGAGCGTGCCAATGATGTTTCAACAACAAAGTTTCTCGTATGGAACCAGTGCCTCGCTGAAATGCAAAATTTTGGAACTACCGTACCGTGGTGACGCTAGTATGGTCGTCTTCCTCCCAGACAAAATTGATGACCTTGGTCATCTGGAAAGATCACTGACCAGCGCATCGGTTGTGGATGACGCTTTGTCCACATTGAGGAACCAGACAGTCAACGTTTACCTGCCAAAGTTTAAGCTGAGCGACATGCGTTTGAATTTGAAACCCGTGCTTATTCAAATGGGAATGTCGAAGATTTTCAGTTTTGGCGGCGCTGATTTGTCTGGAATTGGCGGGAAACCAGGAGATTTGTTCATTTCTGAGGCGATCCACGAGGCTTTCGTTGACGTCAACGAGGAAGGAACCGAGGCGGCGGCTGCCACAGGCATAGGCTTGTCTGTCACGTCAGTGACTCCTGTATTCCGAGCTGACCGACCCTTCGTCTTCCAGATTCGCGAGAAGTCATCGGGCACTGTTCTGTTTATGGGCAGACTTATGAACCCGGTTGCATAAAAAGCAAGAATTCAAAAAAGAATCACGAAATTTACACGTAACTCTATGTTGTCTGAATTACGTTTTCTGACATCTGAAATTTATCAACAATTAAAATGATGCCATGAAAATTTTGATAAGATTTGTATTAGGATAGGATTAAGATATAAGACATTATGCTTTCAAACTACCGAACTTTTTGTATAATGCAAAGTCCATGTTTCCATCCGTATACAATAAAGAGAATTCATGCAGTAAATCAAGGACATGATAGTAATATATTACCCTAGGTTCTAGATTCCGGTATTGCCAGCTCGAGCTTGATTTCATATATAACCCATGTCGCAATACCAGGCTCTAGTGCATAGCGACCATGTTAGGCTCCCGTCAATCAAATAGAACGGCTCCGCAGTGATTCTGCAGTTGAATGTCATCAGACCAAAATGAAACGTAAAACAGATTTAATTCTGCTTTATTTAATTTTATTTGCTGTATTTAAGATATGTAAAGTGAGAAATAAATAATATGTTTCTAAAAGAAAAAGGTATATCCAATGTTTTTGTATTTTTTGCTTATCAAAGAACATTTAGTCCTGAGATAATAGACACAATACACGTGCTTGCCGTGTGCCAAGTTTGACAGCTACACCCGATACCACTATAAGGGCTGCGCAATGGCTACACCAAAATCAATTTTTAAAGCAGAATGTTGCTTGTATTGTGGCACTGACCTTCGACTGCAAGATATTTTCAATTCAAACTTCTAAATCCGCGTCAGACACTTTGATTCTTGTCTCGTCTGCACGAGATTATGTCAGCGCAAGGCGGGAAAGGCAGCTCCAGGCGGCCAAACCTGTGACGTACGATACTTATGACTTCCAAATATGGATCCAGGCGGACACAGCTGTGACGTGTGACTTCCAAATATGGAAGCGCCCCAGGCAAAATTTTGAAGAAGAACGCCCTCAGGTTGTCACTGTTCGTCAGAGCTAGTGAAAGTGACTCCAAGGTATATTAGATATTAAACAAAATAACTTTCACGTTGCTCTGACACTCAGGGTATAATATATACGTCCTTCAGTAAATGTATGGTAGCTCTCTGTGGACTGGGATCCAATTTGACAAAAGATTTAATGGGCATCAGCCGAGATAACAAAAAATGGTTGAAATATTCTTTACAAAAATATAGTCCATATAACCGATACTTTAAAGTCAAAATAATATTAATTTGTCCCTAATATGAACTGGCGTATTTTAGGAAATCGTTAAGAAAACATATGTTGTAATTATAAAACTAACATATAGGCATTTACATTTTCCAATCGTTTAAGACATTTTTTTAAGTGTCATAGGACAACAGCTTCACTTTTCATCCTCAAATCTGGAATTTCTGTACGCGTATGATTACCATGCAATCACACTCTTAAACTTCAACATAAGCTAATATAACGACCAGAACAACTCCTTACTTTACTCGCCAAACGATTCGTGAGGAGTGACATTACACTCATATTTTTAAAAGGCAGTTATGAGTAAAAGTGAAATGTAATGCAAAATGAAATTACAATATCGACAATCGATTTTTCAAGACAAAAGGCAATCCCTTGATCTTTGACTTCAATCTCTTTCACCACGTGCACGGTTTTTATTCAAGACATTAAGACCTTATTTCCTCGTTCATTTGTATAAATATATGCACACCCTGACACGGTAAGGCCTTCAACTACAGATTAAGTAACCACACGTGCACCTGGTCTTGTCTGCTCATGTGTTAGACTGCATTCCCACAGATTTAGTTCGATCCATCTGGATCGACCTATCTCCCTAGGGGTTCACGCTAAATTGCTGTCAGCCAAGCGCGCACGGAAGTTAATTAACCCCTTACAGCTTTTAGTAGGCGGGACAGACATTTAAGCCACCTAAGCTGACAGTAATCTAGTTAGACCCCCCACGAGAATAGATCGATCTAAAATCTGTGGGAATGCAGTCTTAGTGTAACACTATGTGGCGCGACTATCTCATATCTGTACTCCTGATCGTGATGTTTATGATCCATTCAAGTTCTGTTCTCGTCGGTAATAATTTGAAGGTTTTTATTTCCCTTTATATATGAAGGGAATCATGTATATAGATCCAGTGAAATCAATATTCCCCTTTTAAACCTTCATTCATCGTCCATATGTATAGGCTAGATTACAATTAAGAGCCTTTTAGTTATACACGTATGCCAATAATAATCGTCTATGACACAAGAGTTAAAGGTGGAGGGGTATTGCAATAAAGGGTTTGATTAAAAATGGGCAAGAAACAAACGATGTAGTTAAAACTGGGGTTAACGAGACTGGTGATAAAAAAAAAAAAAAANTTAGACTCCCCACGGGGATAAATCGATCTAAAACCTGTGGGAATGCAGTCTTAGTGTGACACCATGTGGCGTGACTATCTCATATTTGTACTCCTGATCGTGATGTTTATGATCCATTCAAGTTCTGTTCTCGTCGGTAATAACTTGAAGCTTTTTATTTCCCTTTATTTATGAAGGAAATCATGTATATAGATCCAATGAAATCAATATTCCCCTTTTAAACCTTCATTCATCGCCTATATGTATAGGCTAGATTACAATTAAGAGTCTATTAGTTATACACGTATGCCAATAATAATCCTCTATGACAAGAGTTACAGGTGGAAGGGTATTGCAATAAAGGGTTTGATTAAAAATGGGCAAGAAACAAACGATGTAGTTAAAACTGTAGTTAAGACTGGTGATAAAAAAAAACAAAACTCCCATTGCCAAAATGGGATTGGCGGACAGGTAACAAATTATTAGGAAATAATTTTTATTCTAATATCTTGCTTTAAAAGGACGCGCTAAACAGCCCTTGCTCATGTTTCCCAGTTACATTCGTGGTGGATATAAATTTAAGCTTTCGACGTGATTAAAAGGTAAGTCCTGTTTCATATACTTTGAACATATGTATGAGTCGATTTCTGAACTTTTACTTTATGCAGTAGTTAGCCTTTACCTTTCTACATTTATTTTTATTATCGCATTATCAAATTATTTCCTTTTATTTTTATTTCATTTAAAGGATACACTTAAGACTGCATGGATATTATATCAATGTTTCGTAGATGGGTTGTTTGCAGGGTTTGTTTGTCAGTCTTGATTTTAAAAATGCGACTTAAAATGAACATATAATGAAAAGGTTATCCTTAAACATTGCTTATTTTATGCTTTTTATATTTAAATATATTTATTTCAGACAAATTCGTGATGGTGCATCCTTTGGATAGATCAGCGGTTTTTATTGTATATTTGATGGCGGTCATCAGCCACTGGTCCTCGGACACACTTGGTCAAGGTACACAGAAGCAGGATGTCACCGAAACTGAGCAAAAGATCGTTAAGCCCCCTTTACACTGGACGGCGTCCTTTCTGCGTCCAGCAGTACGGCCCCATTTGAGAGTTAAAAAATTATAATATTTTACGGCCGACAACTGGCCAATCATTGAGCATTCATTCTGATACAAAATCGATGCTTGTGCCTCCTTATTAAGACCACAGCGATGCCAAATTCCATGGTCGCAGAAAGGACGCAGAAAGGACGCCGTCCAGTGTAAAGGGGGTATTACCGGTAACACCAACTTCGCTCTTAACCTCTTCCAGATTCTCAAGGCCGATTCCGGTAACATTTTCTTCAGTCCGTTCAGCATCACGACAGCTTTAAACGTGGTCCTTCTTGGAGCTAAAGGCGATACGCGATCAGAGATGATAAGAGTGATGGGTTACAGCAATATCATTTCCATTCATGAAAATTTCAAACGCCTCCGCACCAGACTAACAAACCCAGGAAAAGAATACCTCCTCCGTATTGCCAATCGGCTCTTTGGAAGAGAAGGGTTTAACTTCAATCAAAAGTACATTGATGACAGTGGACGGTTTTATGATGCTCCTCTAGATCTACAAGACTTTAGCCAACCTTCCGCCACAACCAGGTACATCAACAATTGGGTAGAACAACAGACAAATAACAAGATAGTCGACCTCCTGCCAAACGACTTTATCGATCTGCAGCTCATCCTAATCCTGGTGAACGCTGTATATTTTAAGGGAACTTGGACCAGTAAGTTTTCGGAGTCAAACACCCGCCCCCAACCGTTCTTCACATCCAACGTGAATCAAGTAAACGTGCCTATGATGTTTCAACAACAAAATTTCCCGTATGGTACCAGTGCCTCGCTGAAATGCAAAATTTTGGAACTACCGTACCATGGTGACGCTAGTATGGTCATCTTCCTCCCAGACCAAATTGATGACCTTGGTCATCTGGAAAGATCACTGAACAGCGCATCGGTTGTGGATGACGCTTTGTCCACATTTAGGAACCAGACAGTCAACGTTTACCTACCTAAGTTTAAACTGAGCGACATGCGTTTGGATTTAAAACCCGTGCTTATTAAAATGGGAATGTCGAAGATGTTCAACTTTGGCGGCGCTGATTTGTCGGGAATCGGCGGGAAACCAGGAGATCTGTTCGTCTCCAAGGCGATCCACGAGGCTTTCGTTGACGTCAACGAGGAAGGAACCGAGGCAGCGGCTGCGACGGCCATCGGCGTGTCTCGCAAGTCAGAGCTTTCAGTGACACCTGTATTCCGAGCCGACCGACCCTTTGTCTTCCTGATTCGTGAGAAGTCATCGGGCACCGTACTGTTTTTGGGCAGAGTTATGAACCCTGTTGCCTGAAAAGCCAGGATTAAAAAAAGAATCGCGAAATTTACACTTAACTGAATGTTGTCTGAATTTATTTATTTTTTATTTATCTATTTATTTATTTTTTGACATCTGGAATTTATGAACAGATAAAATGATGCCATGCAAAATTTGAGTGTTTGTATTGCACGGAATCTATATAGGATATTATATGTTTTTNGGCCGATTCCGGTAACATTTTCTTCAGTCCGTTCAGCATCACGACTGCTTTAAACGTGGTCCTTCTTGGAGCTGAAGGAGATACGAGATCAGAGATGATAACAGTGATGGGTTACAGTAATATCATTTCCATTCATGAAAATTTCAAACGCCTCCGCACTAGACTAACAAACCCAGGAATAGAATACCTCCTCCGTATTGCAAATCGGCTCTTAGGAAGAGAAGGATTTAACTTCAATCAAAAGTACATTGATGACAGTGGACGGTACTATGATGCTCCTCTAGATGTACAAGACTTTAGCCAACCTTCCGCCACAACCAGATACATTAACAATTGGGTAGAACAGCAGACAAATAACAAGATAGTCGACTTCCTGCCAAACGACTCATACTAATCCTGGTGAACGCTGTATATTTTAAAGGAACTTGGACCAGTAAGTTTTCAGAGTCGAACACCCGTCCCCAACCGTTCTTCACATCCAACGTTAACCAAGTAAACGTGCCTATGATGTTTCAACAACAA